ATGCCAAAAGCAGATCAATTTTATTCAAAAATGCCTCTAGAACTCTTAGCATCTAATATATGCATGCCATAGTGGAAAAAAACCTATAGGACAGAATTACTGAGTGGTACACTCTTGGTATATATCCTGTATAGTATTACTATGAATACTATAATAGTAATCCAATTCAGACACTGAGTAAAGAATATAGCACAAAACTGATCCCAACTAAGTGGAAGACTGCTGCCTCCCCATTGTCACAGAAGATCTTTTAATAAGATCACATCAGAAAGAACAATTATGATAAATATACTGAAAAATACATTTGCTCTAGCTTCAGTTGGTATATCTCGGCAGATGGCTTGTAGATACCCAGAAATTTCAGTCTCCCTTCAAAAATAATATGGTGAAGGGATTCATTTCCCACAAATGATAGGTATTTAATACTGGCACTAGACAACTTCCAACAAATCTGTTAAGTCTGATATATAGGAAGCACTTCATGATGCCTGCAGTTATCTATTAGTTATTCTGCAATACAGGGATCAATTACTTAACACTACCTAATCTAATATTTTAATTAGCTACATAGATCCATAACCTTGGATGCCACTTTGCTGTGACCTCCTACATAAAAAACTGTGTATTCAAAAAACAAAATCCGAATTGTGAGTTTTGAATTTATTTCAAAAACTTCAAGCCTGAATGATTCTGAGATAGTGAAATAGGCATCTACAAAAGTATCCCATGTTATGTGGGGGAAGAAGGAGGAGGAGATTGGATTTATACCCCACCCTTCACTACCCAAAGGAGTCTGAAAGCAGCTTACAAAACTTCCTTTCTCTTCCCCTCCCCACAACAGACACCCTGTGAGGTAGGTGAAGCTGAGAGAGCTCTTTACAGAAACTGCTCTTTTTCAAGAACAGCTCTGACAGAACTTTGGCTTGCCCAAGGTCATCCAGCAGATGCAAGTGAAGGCGTAGGGAATCAAACCACTACACCAAACTGGCTTCTATTGCATTTCATTTTCTGTATTTTCTTCCTGATACCACACTGCTGTTTCCCAAAAGGTTTTACACAAAGACAAAGCTAGATTTAAAATAAAACATGCAAATATTGCAGTTTTATACTAACTAAGCAAAGCAGCAATTTACTTGTCCATGAATCACACAGAGTTCTCTATAAAGGTTGCATTAAAGAATTTAAAAGAAGGTTTATTTAGTGTAATGGTGTAGTGGTCTCTAATCTGGGAGAACCGGGTTTGATTCCCCAGTCCTCCACTTGCAGCTGCTAGATGACCCTGGGCAAGCCATAGTTCTGTCAGAGCTGTTCTCTCAAGGACAGTTCTGTCAAGAGCTCTCTCAGCCCCACCTACCTCACAGGGTGTCTGTTATGGGGAGGGGAAGGGAAAGGAGTTTGTAAGCCACTCTGAGACTCCGAGTGAAAGGCGGGGTACAAATCCAATCTCCTCCACCTCCGTTTCTTCTTCTTCTTCTTCTATACTACTACTTCAACATGTTTATTTTGGGCCTTTAATTCATCTATCAAACTCAAGACTTAAGACCTAATGGTGAAACTATTTGGGGTCCAATTTCTCTTTAGGAGCATTTTACAAATGTAACAATTCTATTGGTTACGTTCCAGCTTAGACTCGCACAGTTACCAAGACTCCACAGCGATGAGGGATTGATTAAGATGATCCTCCCACACAGTCTGACAGATTCAGTAGGTTTTCAGATGGCACTGGGGGACTGCCTTTCTGGACTGATTGGCACCATTCTGCGGCAGTCCCAGTCTTATTTCCAGAGTAAGTTTCAGAGTTGTGGTACTGAGGAACTGCTGCTCTAACCCCATTCCCCAAGGCGCCATCTATGTAAAGCCGCTAGGAGAGGTAATCTGGACTGAGCTGCCACCAATGTGCAGATGCCATTCAGCTCTATCTCATGCTACCAGCAAATCTCAAGGAGGCTGTGGAAACTGTGAACAGGTACTCGGAGGCAGTTTTGGAATGGATGAGAGCTAACAAACTGAAACTTAATCCTGAAAAAAACAGAGGTGCTACTGGTGGGGGGGAAGGTTTGACTCAGGTTACCCCCCCCATTCTGAACGGGGTTTCACTCCCCTTAAAGAAGGTTTGTAGCTTGGGGGTGTTCCTGGACTTGGGCCTGCTGTTGGCCAGGGGTACGTTTCAGCATCTTCAGCTGGTAAGTCAGCTGTAGCCCTTCCTGAACAGAAAAGATCTTGCCCCTATGGTGCATGCCCTGGTGACATCTAGATTAGATTACTGCAATGCGCTCTACATGGGGCTGCCCTTGAAGACTGTCCGGGAGCTACAGTTGGAACAGAATGTTGTGGCCAGAGGTTTGACTGAAGTGGGTTGTAGGGACCATATCGCTCCAGTCCTTTTCCACCTACACTGGCTTCCAGTTTATTTGGTTATTTATTCCCAGGCTCAATTCAAGGTGCTGGAACTGACCTTTAAAGCCCTGTATAGCCTGGAACCAATGCTACCTCTAAGCTGTGAGCGTGAGAGGCCACTCATTAACACAGAAGCCCCACTAGCAGCAATCTGGCCATTGCCCATTTTAAAATTACTCAGTGAAACAACCACAAAATATCCCATGAAACAAACGTTCCAATTAGTTTATGACATTTAACACTAAGGCTTAGAAAAATACACAAAAAGCCTTCCCAGTCAGACCAATGAATACGCTATACACAGTCCATAGATACACTGTGGTCTTCTTATTTTTTCTCAGTTGCCAACTTCCAGGTCTGCAAGGAGGCTGTAACAGGCTGGCTGACTTCTTTGCTCTTGATTTTTCACCAATATCTAAACAAATTAGTCACATAATTTATAAACATTGGCATTTAGTGTCAGGAATTGATGGTTGTTCGGGGAGTCCAAAAATTGGATACAGAAGGGGTAGAAATATAAAAGAGACATTATTATTAGGTCTGATTTTCAGACAGAAAATAAGATGACCCCAGTCATATTAGGGCATCATAAGTGTTTTCAGAATTGTGCAGCCTGTAAGTATTCTTTGGACATTAAGGCATATGCACATCCACTGAAAGGATATATGATTCAACTTCCACATTATTCTAATTGTAGAAGAACACGCCAGTGTATGTACCTCTTGAAATGTGTGTAAAATGCAATACATAGGTATTATTTAATTAAAGTTAATTAAAGTTAGAATTTTGGAACATCTTTCTCGCATTAGGTATTCCATTATGTCAGCTCCTCTTGTTGAGCATTTTGTTATGACCCACCTTGACCCAGAGAAGTTAAGATTTTTTGTTATTTATAAATATACACCACAGAAATATAATTGTTTTGATATACAAAAAATTTATTGCAAAGGGAAGCAAGGTACATCTTTGAATATAGAACTTTTGCACCTTATGGTTTAAATAATGAACTTGACTTTTCCTCCTATTTGTAACCTCATACTTTGTGTTATATACTCTCTGTGACTTTAAATGTACTCTGGTATCAGTAACGATATGGACACAATTAGCCTTAAGTGTGCCAGATGAGGCAGTGCATGCAAGAACCATTTGTCATTAGGAGTGTATGAACCCATTTGGGAGAAAGAAGAATGTTTAAACAGTATGGGTAAGTTGGGTGCCAGATTGGAAACATTGATTGTTGAAATTTTATCAATACTGTACACTAGATGTTTTCTTGCTTTGTTATTAGTTCCATAAGAATTTGGCTCTGAAGAAGAAACATAGTCAAAACTCTTGCGGCCAGCCTGTTACAGCCTCCTTGCAGACCTGCAAGTTGGCAACTGAGAAAAAATAAGAAAACCACAGTGTATCTATGGACTGTGTACAGCCTATTCATTGGTCTGACTGGGAAGGCTTTTTGTGTATTTTTCTAAGCCTTAGTGTTAAATGTCATAAGCTAACTGGAACGTTTATTTCATGTATTGTTTTGATTTATGCATTGTGTTAAACATACGCCTTTATAAAAACCTTGAGTGATAGCAGACCTTGAACATAGTTATTTCACGGGATATTTTGTGGTTGCTTCACTGAGTGCAGTATCTCCGTGGTCCTGCTGTATTTATTATCATTTTAAAATTACAGCAGTTATATTCTGCTCAGGATGTGAACTGCTCCACACTGGGGGGAGGGGGAATTAGAGGGAACATTGCCTGGAACCAACATACCTTAAGGACTGTCTTCTCCCATACGAACCTACATGTTCACCCTGGTCATCCTTGAATCCCCTGCTTCAGTTGCCCCACTATCTGAGGCTACATGGGTGGCAGCCCACAAAAGGGCTTTCTCCATCGTGGCACCAAAACTCTGGAAATCCCTTCCCACAGAGAGTTGTCTGTCTCTCGCTGTATCAGTGCCTTTTGATTGCAGGCGAGGATTTTCTTGTTTCATCAGGCATACCCCCAATAATGGTTTATTGGCCCTCCTTCTATGTTGTATGTTTACGTGGCTTTAAATTGAATTCTCAACTGTATTTTGTTTAAATGTTTTTACGTTCGCAGTCTTGTGGACCCTGACTGGGTGGAAAAGGTGGCATGAAAATGTTCTAAATAAATAAATAATTGCTTTTCCTGTGAACTACCTTGATCCACTTACACTACTTATAAATACAGAATCTCTGATGTACACAACTGAGCTACCATGTCCCAAGGTACTACTTATTCCTTTCATTTCAACATGTACCAGCAAAGCAATGCATAAGCAATTCCTATACTTGGACTGACAAGAATGGGGCAGGAAAGCATAAAAAAGACCTGTGTGATCTTTGGGAAGAAACACCCATCTTTCAAATTTAGGGAGCAACCTGAAGCAGATCTACTTAGAAATAAATCTCATTTCATCCAGCAGGCTTACCCCCAGAAAAATACTCTTCAGCTGCAGCTCTGCTCTACAGAAAAATTACTATTTTTGCAATAGATGCAGGTAATTTAAAATGCCATTCAGATATATAATGGATCCCATGTCTCTCATTTCCAGTCGCATCAAATGAAGAACAACAGAAGATTTACCTGGCTGAGTATTCTGCTCTTGTGTTCGATTCACAGTGAGGTCTAGAGGGCTATCCTGTTCTTCCTGAAGTGAATTTTCCGTTTGGTTCAGTTGGATACCTTTACGTATCAGACTTGTTTCATATGATGAACCGTTTCTATTTTCTTGCATTTTACTACTTTTTGAAATGTATTCAATTGCAAATTGACGGATCATCTTTTTCATTAATTCCTGAGCAACTAGGGGAATGTTAGGATCACAGTTCTGAGGAAGATCTAGAAGGGGGGAAAAAACAGCACAACACACATGAATTAGAATAAAAGGTACCAAGTGTATTTCGTTAATTTTTCTTTCTGCAAAAAAAACCCCTCACTAGTCCTGTGGAGCATTTATGAATCTGTCCATTTGCTCAATAAATCTCACTTATTGAAATATCACTACTAATTCAATATTTACTTTGAGTACTGTTGGTTCAAAGAAGTTAAGGGCTACAACCCCAAAAGCTGAGCCCAAATGTATTCATAGTCAAAGATTTCTCCACACGTTCCACTACAGCATCTCCAGTGCTGAAGACTCAGACCACAGTCTGTACGAAAAAGTATCCAGCTCTTCTACATAGGAAATACTAGCAGGAGAACCAGCAAACAAAGGCCTCAACTGCACGTACATTTCCCAAGTGTACACCCCCATGGCCCCTTTCAACTGCATCTAATGGTATTACTTCTTTAACACAGGGGACTGGATTCAGCACAAAAACTGTTCTAGAGAAACAGCGTTCCCAACAAAAATTCCCTCAAGCTGAGATGCTGAAACCAACACTTTCTACATTTAGTTTATTATTACTACAATCCCAGATCCACATTCAAATTATCAACAAACACTTTCTTCATGAAAAACAGCCCTCTACCCACTGAGTTACAACTTCTCACTTACAATTGGAACCCAAATATAAGAATCAGAAAAACATGTGAAGCAGAGATTCAGTTTACATGAGCTGTATTTTTGAGAACATTCTATTAATCAAGCTCAATGCAAATTAAATCTAAGGGAAATCTTTGCACTATAAAAAAAGCCAATTAAGATTGTAACACAAAAACATTGTTTATTGTAACACATGCATTGCTTAATGCTCACTGAGACTGTAACATACCCATGTAAAAATGTGATGCATATATGCCAAAAAGTACACTCATCATGGTGCACATCATATAGATCCATGCGCAAGAGAGCAGAATTATCTGTGGGCCCCAGCCCTTGCACATAAGCGGTCAACATAAACAACAGTCCTAAGGACCAACATTTTGCTGCTTTAGGAAACTAACAGCTGGGTGGATCCCAGCCATATCCTACCATTTCTCTGAGTAGGGCTGCCAAGCCCGAACACCCACAGCCACCCCTCTCCCTTCTCTCTTGAGAGGGGAGGGACAGGGGTGGTGGCTGGCAGCCTGCCTGAACCCCAAGCAGCATTGCCACTTGGCGATTGAACATGTGGGGTCTGCCAGCTACAAGCTCTTAAAGGGACCACTTGGGAAGAGCAGGCGCCCGGCGCCCCTGCTTTGCCAGGCGCACTCTCTTCATTGTGGTGGGGGTGACCATACCCCCTCCTGGAATGCCCCCTAATTCCCCCGTTGGGGAGAAGATTGGACCTGGCAACCCGATCACTGAGCAAAGTCTCTTCATTTGTTCATTAAAATATTCATCCACAATCTTTCTTTTTGGCTCAACTCTGAAGCCTTATACCAATCTAAAGTCACTTCCTCCAACTTAAGTGAGCCACTAAAATTGGAGGAAGGCTATCTGGAGGATGGGATCCAACCCAGTCTCAAAGTTTGCCAAATGTCCTGCCAAAGTTGCCTACAAAGTATTTTGCAACACATTAAAAGGGGTGAATGAAACAGTCCATCTGGACCTCCAAATACAAAATAAGTTACTTGGATATCTAATGAAAATTTGTAATACTGTAGAATTTATTAGTATTCATATATTTCATATAGGAAGGAGTTTGAGTGATGCCCATTTCATATGTTTACTTCATTCACGGAGTCAGTGTTAAGAATGAAAAAATAATGGCATTGTTTGCAGTTTTGAAATTACTTCCTTCTATTTTAATGTTAATTGTTACAGCTGAATCACAAAATGTAGTTTTTCTTCCCTCCAAATGAGGATTCTAATCCACAGTTTAATCCTATTTTAGAGAGAACAAACCACAGTTGTGGTTAGGAAGGAACCACAAATTGTGCTTGGCTGTTAACATGAAATAATTAATTGCTGTGCTGTGCACAAAGGAAGGAGGAAGGTGGACTGAGTGCAAATCCAAAGCACTCCTGAGTTCATTCTATTAGTGACATACTAGAGTTTGGTCTTATGTATGAACTATGTCATTTCCTTGAATACAGAGAACAGGGAGTGGAGCTTGCAAAACAAATTATTGTCCAACTCTCTTCCCAATACAGCCCCTTAAGTCATCTGAAAAACTGCTAGTGAGGGCAAGGGGGCCTTTGTGCAAGGTGTGAGATATACTGCATGAGGATACAAAAGAAAAGGGCAGATCAGCAAAGATCTAGTTGATGAAGCCATTAAAGTTAGGAACAAGCCACTCAAAATGCTGAATTACATTTAAAGCAAAGTACTATAATATAAACTAATATATACGATCTTCTAACCATGTGGACCGTGTCAGCTAACTGCCTTGGGTAACATCTACGTCTCTAACTTAAAATGGAAGAGATACATTCTAAATGCAGATAGGTTTGTAAATAATGGCAAAAAAATCCCTGTATTCAGAATCCACCTTCTTATCTGAGCAGGCTAGCCAGATTTGAGGCAATCTGCACCCTGCCATTAAAAAAACCCCTTAATTCAGCAACTAACAGCAAAGATGTGACAGTTATAACTTGTTCTTCCCCTTCCGAATGCCAAACGAGTGGGTCATACACTTTTTCCCAGAAGTCCAACACGGAGGAGCAAGTAACACCTTTTCAGAAAGACGTTCCAAAGTCTTGGTGTTATAACTGATGAAACGACTATTTCCAGCTGGAGCTTTGAAACCTCTAAAAGCTAATATTGGAATAGTGTCTTCCCTGATTTATTTCAATAATCTTTAATAATTTAATAACAATTGTAACAAATTGTTTATTTGTTGACGTTTTTACCATATTTTACTTGTAAACCACCTCAAGCAAAATAAGAAGTTCTAATGAATAAGGAGGTTTTGTGGTAATGCAGCAATGGTTATACATAGTAACATTTTTCAATTCTAGAGGAGAGGAATGCTGCAGTTTTCGAATTACCTTCAAGAGCAACTCCACATGGAGCGGCTACAAAAGCATAGGTGATTGTAACTCTGTCCCTTAGCCTCTGAGAAGCACTGCTGATATATCACATACAGTTGATAAGAAGTTCCACAGTGGCCACCTGTTTACCAAGAAGCAGTTCTGGGCCAAGTCTTGCACATATTGCACATATGAATTACACTGATCACAGGTATGCTCCCAAATCTTGGGGTGGAGGATGAGTATCCCAGGACTACTTCTGTTTTGCTTCGCAAAAGTATCTTGAAACATTCTCATGCAAGGTTATATGTGAAAAAGCTACATCAGATGTAAAACTTTATATGATTTTTTAAAAAGAACTGTGAAAAGATGTCCTTAATACTTGACTGTGGCCTTTTCCTTGTGGATTTGATTCCAACATAATTTTTATACTATTCCATTATGAAAGACATTTCAAAAGAACTCTTGTGGAAGAAAAGCAAATGTTGCGGCACTTATCCCATATCAGAGCACTCCAGGAATCCAAGAGCTTCATCTGATTATGCAATAATGTATTTTACCATAATTGTGTTCTGAAAATCCTTTCCTGAAGAAGAAACCATGGGGTTCAAAACTCACAACATAAATTCAGTTGGTCTAATATTTCACTTACTCTCGCTAAACAAAACAAAAGTCTCATAGCAAAAGAAAAAATATTTAAAAGAAATCTTATTTCCCAAAAGCCGGTTCTCAATATAGAAAGCAAGGCAATATTTCCTGAAGTCCTCATCAGTGCTTTGCAAAAACAACACAGCATAAGAACAAGCCATGTTGGATCAGGCCAATGGCCCATTCGGTCCAACACTCTGTGTACACAGTGGCCAAAACCCAGGTGCCCTCAGGAAGTGCACCAGCGGGGCCAGAATTCCAGAAGCCCTCCCACTGTTGCTTCCCCCCAGCACCAAGAATACAGGTCATCACTGCCCCAGACTGAGTCTTTCATCTAGACCTTGTGGCTAAGACCTCTGGTCCAGATGTTTATCCAATCCCTTCTTGAAGCTGTCTATGCCTGTAGCCTCCACCACTACCAGTGGCAGTGAATTCCACGTGTTAATTATCCATTGGGTGAAGAAGTACTTCCTTTTATCTGTTCTGAGCCTACTGCTCCTTAATTTCACTGAGTGCCCACAAGTTCTTGTATTGTGAGATAACACAGCTAAATAGATGAAAAATTGAAGTTTTACAAGTGAAGACGATGTCTGGTGGTTCCTGCAAGTTAAAGGAGTTAGATGATACCTGCATTTATGAGCCCTGAAGCTGGTGTAACTACTGGGCTCCCAGGCAGCAGCTGTTCCTGTGAACATTTTTCAATACTGCTTATTCTTCTGGGTTATACTACATGAGCTGGCAAAAAACCTTTCCTGGAAAGCAGGGACTTAAGCTATCACTCAGGCCTTTGTAACCTTATACACTGAAGTCTGAAAATACCGTATATTCTACAAGATGATGCAAAAATTATACTTTACATCTCTTAACTGCCATTAAGTTATCAGAACTGGGCCACAGAATCACTCCATCCCTCCTCCACCTGCTTTTCTACCTCTTGTTGCTCAGAAGAATTATTTTAGAATCAACGCTGACCACCAGTTACTACAGTTAATGTAACTTACATGTAGTTAAGAAGGGGAAATTAAGGGAAATTTATTCCAGACAGAGAGGGTGGAGTGAGTAATCTGATACCCCATTCCTAATCCCTTCAACCCAGTTAAACAGATCCCAGGTGTTACATCTGTACTAGTCCTTCATGGAACTGCCTTCCCAGAGCACCAGAGCTGGTGTGTTAGCCACTTGTTGCCCAGGGCCAGGAGAGGAGTTTTAGGGGCAGTTGCCAAATTCTACACCAAATATACTTTCGATTAGATTCCCAGGTTCTGGAAGAATAGACCAATCTATGGAGCAGACTATGGACCCACCAGTTTTCAGTAGATTATGATCGGAAAACAGCATACAAGGGCTAGCATTGCCCGGGAAATCCCCTAATATCATCCCACAAAGTTTCTGGCCTATTGAAGGAATTGCCAAGGTCACTTGATGGCCCAGTGAAAGGGCATTACGTTTTGCATGGAGAAGGTCCCAAATTAAATTCCTGATCTCCCCATTTAAAGGATCTCAGGTAACAGAGGTTTCCCTGGACCCTGGTTGATGCTTCTCTAGAGAGGAAAACAGAAGAGAAGAGGAGGAACTATCAACAGGTGGGCAAACACCTGACAAGTCCAAAGCATTTACGCTATAGAGCTTGGGGGGGAGGGGTTTAAATTGCAACATGGTTATCCCAATGTCCCGAAGAATTACTGCACCTTGAAATCAATGGGATTATATCCTTGTAAATATAAATGATTTTTTTTTTGCTTTAAATGGCATTTTATCAAAGTGTTTATAAGATTTGAAACTAGTTTTAATCTTTGGTGATACTTTAATTACAAGTTTGGCACAACGGGGTCTAGATCCTGTGATACCTAGTCCAGGGGTCCCCAACCTTTTTTGAGCCTGCAAGCACCTTTGTAATTCTGACACAGCATGGTGAGCGCAGCTGCCACAAAATGGCTGCCATAAGAGGTGGAGCCAGCTACAAAAAGTGGTTGCTGCAGCTTACCTTCAGGCCCATACTGAAGATTATTGTGCTGTCCTGGCAGTTGCTGCCAAAGCAAAAAAATCTGCCCAGCCTATCAAATCTCCAATGTTCAATTATAAGCCTGGCTTAGTAAATGCCCCACCTGGCTCCACCCACTCATTAAAAACACTTGGCGGGTGTCAGGAAAGTGCTGGCAGGTGCGATGGCACCACGGACATCACGTTGGGGATCCCTGAACTAGTCCTTATCTACTTCTCTACTTCTAAAACCTTTAATTTAAATACATTCTAAGTTCCACTGATCAGTAAGAAAATTAAACATCAAAGTAAACATCAGCTTAATTCTCACTGACTGATCATGATGGGACCTAGTTGAACTGTTTCCAAGGCACTTGTTAAGTTTCTATAAGCAACTTCTCACTTACAATAATGTGCTACCGAACATGGCACCTCCGAGGAGGGAGGAGAAGGATAAACAACCAAAACTGAAGTCCCCTGCCGGAAATGCCAGTCCAGCGAGTTCTGCTCCTAGACAGGACACTATCATAGACTTCCAAAATATGCTGACTGAGGCTCTGCGCCCTCTGCTGGAACAAATGACATCGCTCCATAAGAAACTCGATGCACAACAAAGCCAGTTAAATGAGACTACTAAAAACACAGAGAAAATGGAGCAAGAACTAAAAGAAGTGGATGCCAACACTCTGAAGCTTAAAAAACAAATGCAGGTGATGAAAAAAAAGAGAGCAACTGACGAGGCTCAACTTTTACAGCTGCAAATGGAAAAGGCAAGCTATGTCTTAAGATTCCAGGGGTCTCCAGAAGTAAAAGGAGAAGACTTAAAGCAGATTATGTGTGATGCATTGAGTTCGGTTGCAGATTTAAAAGCGGATTTTCTACAAAACGAAATAGATACGATCTACAGATTGTACTCTGACTATATAAGAAAGAATAATCTGCCCGGTGAGATTGTGGTGAGATTCTCCAGGAGACAAGTAAGAGACCAAGTATTGAAAGCAACAAATGGAGCCACCCTGAAAATCAAAGACAAAGAAATAAGAGTCTTGAAGGATATTCCATTTGAAGTAAGGAAGAAGAGAAAGAAATACAGAGACTTGGCGCTGTTCTTACAGAAAAACAATGTCCCCTACAGATGGAGTGTTCCTGAATGCATGCTCTTCAAATTTAAATACAAGAAAGAAAAAATTGACTCTGTTGTAAAGGCACGCAAATTTCTACATCAACATGCCACTCCAGCAGGTGAAGAGGATAAAGATGAAGATGGCAGCAGCAGGGGAAGTGAAGAAGAAGGAGTACTGGCACTTTCTGATGAGGACTCAGTTTCTGAACTGGGGGCAGCTGCCCCTAAACCAAGCTATTGACTGAGAAACAAAAAGGATAAAACATGAGTTATGATTGTTCTCCAGATTCTGTTTTAAATTAATTTAAATCATTTCTCTATAGAGATCTTTATATAGTCAGATATGCTGGAGATTCTAGTACAAGCAATAAGAATTGTGTATTCACTCAACGTAGCAAAGTATAAGCTCTTTTACTTAGAAACTAATTTTGTAAGCATTGTGATTGACCACCATCTCTTGGGTTTTTAGTGGGTTTTTTTTTTACTTTCACCTGTAGTTTGTAGTTACCTTTCCTTGTTTCTTTGTAGTTTACAGAAAATGCAATTTTAAAAATCCCCTACGGGGGGACAAAAAAAAGAAAAGAAAAACAGACCAGAAAAACAGAGAGATATAAATCTGACATTAAAAATCACAGTACTCAGAAAGCAATGGGAGAACATTCTAATCTTCCAGGACCTTCCACTGCTGGCCCAAGAGTGGCAGTTCACCTACAGAGAAGCTTCAAAGGGATATTACGACGTGAGATTGCAGAACTAGAATTCATTAACTGGTTAAGGACACATACACACCAACTGGGGCTGAATAGGGACACCGGATTCTTATCTCCTTACAGATTCTTATCTCATTCTGCATTTCCCACCTATATGCATATCTCTTTGCTCTAATTAAACTGATCACGTTTTGCATTGTGCCTCCACATCCGGACTCCAAGTGGAGTCTGGATTTCTTGATAGCACTTCATTTTTACATGTATCTGAAGAAGTAAGCGTTGACTCACAAAAGCTTATACACTGGAAAATTTTGTTGGGTCTCTAAAATACTAGTGAACTCAAATTTTACTACAGAGTAACATTGCTATCCAACTGAAATATTTTATGCAGCTAACAAAAAAATTATTACAAAACCATTGAATAAACCACTATTGAAACCACAACACTTAAAACAAATCAAGGTCAAGGAAAGTCTAAAAAAAGCCATGCTAATCCCTAATCCTGCTCTAACAAAATGGTTTTGCATGGCCTTTGGAAATCTTGTAAATATGGACTAAGGCATCAACCCTAAATGCACTTGAAGACTCGGAATAAGAGATTTAAATCAGTAGGTCTTGCTTCTTAATACATTTGGTTAAGGCCAGGCTACAAGTCCAATTTTTGTTTTGGAGAACAGTCTCATGAAGAGATAGCCACTACTTATAGCACTACAGTATAGTAAAATAACAGGACAGAATAAATATACAATTAATTTATGGAACTTTTAAATGCCATTTGGACCTATAACAACTAAATAGAATTATAAATTCTATAATTATAGAATTATAAATTCTATAAATAAATTATAAACAGCTGTTGCTGGGGGAAAGAACAACAAAAGATGATCAACTAGCTAGACATTATATAGAAAGAGAATGGGAGACTAGATGGATGCTTGGTCTAATCCAGTAAGGCAGTTCTTAGGTTTGCTGTGAGATCACCTTTTAAGCAGGACTTCCCTAATAGGACAAAAGTATGTCACAGGTTCATATGGGGACAAATGTTTTGCAAATATACCTAAGCCACTTGAGCTTTCAGCCATAACTAGCATTTTGAAGTGAACTTGCTAAATGGGGAGCTGAACTTAGGTCTTCTGCATCCAAAAGAAATACTCAATCCACTGTATTCCTCTAGTCCCTAATCAGGGGAGAACCCAACCACTAAGAGAATCCGAGTATGTTACTGAAATAAACAAAGATACAATCACTAATATTTTACTGGAAATGGATATTAATAAACCTTGGCAAATCTATTTTTTTATCCTAAAAGTAGTTCTAATATAAAATAGTATTATCTGAACAGTTTAACAACAGAAAAAGACTATTTAACTATCAAAATAATCTAGGAAATAAGTTAAAGACGGACAAATATACTGACAACAGAACTCTGAAACACTCAGGCAGGGAATCAGAGACAGATGAAAATAACAAATGGGTACAATAAACACAATTTACATCATGAAAATCACCAGTTAAAAATGCAAGAATTTTAGAGGAATGCTATAAGAAACGGCAATGTACAACAATGTCACCAGACTAAATAAACAACAGTACCTTTCTTGCGAAAGAGTGCATTTAGGTAATTCTCTGCTTGGCATTCAATTTTGTCAGTGTTGGACTGGCCCTGAGATGACAGTTCCTCTGTAGGGGTTGACTGCAAAGAACCAATGACTGTTGTATGATCCTAAAAAGGAGAAAAATAACCCAACAGATCTAAAGGTTGAAGATGATTTTGAGGATAAGTTGCCGCCCTGAGCCTGCTTTGGTGGGGAGGGTGGGGTATACATTGAATGAATGAATAAATAAATAAATAAGGTTTAAATATGGACCTTCATAAATTTAATTTGCAAGAATTCATTTACAGACTTTAGAATCATAGAATCATTGCGTTGGAAGGAACCTCCAGGATCATCTAGTCCAACTCCCTGCACAAGGCAGGAAATTCACAAATACCACCCCCTCCACACCCACAGTGACTGCTGTTCCATGCCCAGAAGATGATGGAAAACCTCCAGGATCCCTGGCCAAACCGGCATGGAGAAAAATTGCCTCCTGACCCCAAAGTGGCAATCAGCATTTCCTTGGGCATGTGAGAAAGGACCACAAGAACTAAGCACTGAGGCAACCCTTCCCTCTCATGATCTGCCTAAGTTCACAGAATCTGCATCGCTGTCAGATGGCCATCTAGCCTGTTTGAAAACCTCCAAAGAAGGAGAGCCCACCCCCTCCCCAGGAAGCCTGTTCCTCTGAGGAATCGCTCTGTCAGGAAGTTCTTCCTAATGTTTAGCCAAAAACTCTTCTGATTTAATTTCAACCCACTGGTTCTGGTACGACCTTCTGGGGCAAAAGAAAACAATTCTGCACCATCCTTTATATGACAGCCCTTCAAGTACTTGAAGATGGTTATCATACCACCTCTCAGTCCTCTCTTCTCCAGGCTAAACATATCCAAGCTCCTTCAACCTTTCCTCACAGGACTTGGTCCTGTGACCATCTTTATTGCTCTCCTGAAAAATATTACTTATAAAATCTTTTTAAACAATTTATGGCACAAATACTTACACTGACTGTTTCTTTATGTAAATTACAAAAGGAACATTTTTCTTCCATAGACCAGTCGGTCACTTCTTCAGGTTCACAGTCTAGGGTAAAACACATTTCAAATGCAAATTGTAAAAATACATTGTTAAAGCAGCTTATAGTTCACTGCACTATAGATAATTCTGTAATTAAACACTATTGTTTAACCACCCTTTGGAATAGGAAATTTTAGACTGAATTAGTTCACATATGTATAAAACAAAAAGGATGTTTGAACCTATGTGTGATCCCAGGTTCTAATAAGGAAGTTTCTTTCTCTCTATTCATTTACTACCTACTATAGATAATTCTATAAATTTCCATCCTTTCTTCCCTGACATCAACATACTCGCCCCTTACAGTGTTATGAAATCTTGCAGTTACTTTCGCAAAGTAACGGTCTTCTATTCTACCACTCTGCTCAGTAGAGGGCTGTGGTTTTTTTTAAGCAGTTCAATTCGTGCTTTGATAAGTAACTAGTCTGATAAAGACTGCTGTTTGGCTTAAAGGAGCAACAGTCCCAAAGCTCAGAGAGGCTGCTGAAATTTCCTGAAAACTACTGCTTGAGTTAGACCCCAAAGGAGACAACAACTATGGATATCAGTCAGTTTCCTCCTCAGATTAAAGTAGTCTTTATTTGTCCACCAGAAGAAATAGGAAAAATAGCAGTGTGAGGTTCCTTAAAATAAATTCCAGCACTTGTGAGCTATACAGAACTAAGAAAGCATCAGAACAGGGAATCTAAGTCTGCTGTCTGTCTTGGCATATGCCCACTCTGAATAAAGTGTGGCAATTCCCAATGAACCAGTATATCATGCCATGAGGAGCAAAAGCACAGCTCTAATAGTATGAAACAAAAGGGAGACCTGTGAGAAAGCGAGAAATCAGTTCTACACACAGACCCTGCCTTGGCTGCTGCCTGTCTGTCCTTCCCACCACCGATTTTTCACATGCCATCTTGGATTCTGTAGTAACGCAAAATGCTTCCTGAACTCCCATGCATTGGTTTCTATAACACCTGGGCATACAGACACGTTGTTATTAATTTGTGGATACAGGTGGCTACCCCATTTTCTGAAAAACTAAGATTTTTCTGTAAATCTGTATGGTTACCTCAGATTTGCAGAATCCTAAATAATAGCTGCTGAGAGCCTAGTTGTACAGATGAATCTATCTGCACAGAGGTTTACCCTTGGCTATTGGATACAGTGATATTATCAAGTTGCATTTTTGAGATCTTGTTATATACAACAGACACAATCTACCAAAAGATAATCACTTTGATATTCATTAATATTGATAAAAGGGTTAAAAACATGTTTAATAAAGTTAACAGAAGTTGAAGTCAATTGGGCTTTATCAAACACTTAACTCTGGCGAGACTGTACTCTGTACATTTTATTAGGATAGTCCACATAAGACACATGTAGGCCAAGTGAAACACATCTTCCCAGCCTTCTTTCTTCAAACTAAACCAATTAAGGCTGCTTTTTCCACACAGCCACACAGTTTTAAACAACACACACAGAAAGTCTGCATGTCAGTATAACTTTTAAAAAATCACAAGCATGCTGCCAGCAAAATTATGCAAATGAAATTATAAAACTCCGTGTTGATATACCTTTTAAACAGTAATTGTCACAGTGTAGTGAGGATGGTGTCTGTTGTTATTCTGATATGAGGCATGTATGTGAGTGCACACATGCATGTGCAAAAGAGTGCACTGGAGGTTTACAGCTACCATGTTTATGGCTGAGGAAAGACTTGAACAGCAGCAAAATCATGTGGTAAATTTCTCCTACACTGTACCACTTAATGCAAGATTATATATTTGAACAAGCTGAGACCCCACAAGGACTTGCAGGAGGATCTCATTTTCCTCTGTATCCTCCCCCACAGCATCTCCCCCTTTCCTGCTTCCTTCTCCTTACCCACAAGCCAAACCACCTTTAGTTGCCCTCCCAGTCGTCACCCCCTCTATCAGGCAGCCTCTCCCCATGAGAAGTTTGGACAACTTGCAAAAGTTGGGCAGAGACCACTAGGAGGCCCAGGTTGCATAGTGGCTGCTGGGCCCAGCAAGTCCTCTTTCATCATGACACGGGGTGGGTGGGACCTCTTCTAGGGCTCTTTCGACCTCCCGGTCCACCCTGCTCCACCCCACAGCTTTGCTTTAAAGAAATCAAGGCTTGGAGAGCTCAGCAATATTGTTATGGTTACCTAAAGGTTTTCCTTGCTCGAAAGCTAGTCAAATCTGACTCTAGGGGGCAGTGCTCATCTCCGTTTCCAAGCTGAAGAGCCAGCGCTATCCGAAGACATTTCCGTGGTCATGTGGCTGGCATGACTAAACACCAAAGCACACAGAACACTGTTACCTTCCCACCAAAGCAATACCTATTTATCTACTTACTAGTAAGCAAAGCCCGTTGTGGCGGTAGACAACGGGCCCCTAGATAGGAAGGAAGGGCG